CAAAGAATTAAGATCATATATTAGTTACCTTCCATGTCGGAGATTCTCATCTATCACATAATATGTTCCAGTCTTCTTGTTTAATGTCTTTATATGGCTTTTGGCGAGCACGTGTTGGATCACGTACCTTTTTGTAATGTCGAYGTAGTTTCGCTCGATAATCCTTGAATCGAGTTCCAATCTCGTATAAAATATATCTATGCACACGTGACTGAGATATATCGACAACAAACATCTCCTACAAAACGTAGTCAGTAAAACCAGTTAACAACATATTCGATTATTAGTAGCCAACAAATACAACATAAGAAATAATGTTCACCAGCAATATCTGAATGATTTTATTAGTCCTAGGACCGTTATCTATTTTTTCTTTGCACACTTCACATCAATATGGTTGCGTGCCAGATAACCTATTTCAGTAGTAAATGAAGCTGACCCAGGTCCAACCGGTCTCCCCTATTGCTYCGTCCATTCGAGGTTGATTTTCCCAACACGATTTACGACTCGTAACAAGAATTCGCCACGAGTTTCCCCCGAGCTCGTATGATTCCAACAATGGTATCCTCACTTTCGCTATCTGATGACATTATGTTATAAAAATAAGAAAAGAGAACACAAGTTGTTAGGATTAGTCCGAAATAAAAATTATAAACTGACAAAACATATAATATACCATATTGAATTACTCATCAATATCATAGTCATCGATTTCATCCGACGATGTTGTTTCATCATATTCATCATCGTCCTCGTCCTCTATTTCGTCTTGTACTTCATCAAAATTTAATACTATCTCAATTGTACCAGTATTGTCGGATACTATACTTGGATTTATGTCTGATATATGAAATGTTTGTGTCTCGAGATCCACTTCATCCACTACACATTGATTGATATTGGCTTCGACTAAATCAATCTCTTTAATCTACTTCAGGCACATCGCATAAATGTTTGTGTTGAATTCTTTGAGCTACTTTCCATCCATTACTTAATTGGAGATCATCAACATAAAATACTTGTTGTGCTTGAGAAACAAGTATAAATGGATYATCCTTTTACCATAAGTGACGTGTGTTTATGCTTGTAAAGTTATTATTTTGGCGAACGTGATTCTTCTTAGGATTTGCCAATCGCACCTATATAGAATAACTCATTTGTCTTTAATGTAGTTCAATTCAATCACTTCCTTAATAATACCATAGAAGTCAGATCTCTTATTATCATCTCCACCAAATACACACACTCCACTATTTTGAGTGGTGCAACGACCATCCCTCTCGTTTGTGTTGAACCGAACCCCATTAGTAACACACCCTTGATATGAATTTACTCGACGGTCCAGGCCAAAGACAAGTGCATACAACTCATTCACAACTTCGTTTGATCCCGGAAATAAGATCTCTTGAAGCCTTGTGAGATTACCACTACGTCCATGTTGAAGCTCCATTTCGTGCTCTCTACCCAATGATTGAACAATGAATAGATGTTTGAAGTATGAATAATTTTCTAAATATTAAACAAAAAAAAAACATACTATTTCCATTCATCGACTGCTTCGCAATTGGTTAAGACATACCAGTGGGCTTTTTGTAACTCATGATGCGATAGTTGTGTCATTTTTGAACTATCGGTTGGACGTGCATATTGTGAAAACACRGACAAATATCCTTTGGTTGTTTCGTTCAAGTTTCGYAGATCATCATTCTGAACTGGTTTATTGAAATTTGTTTCAATTSCACTTAAGGTACATCAAGCAGAACGTTAATGATTCATTTGCAATGAATGCTTGTGCTATAGATCTTTCAGGGCGCACTTTATTCCTTACGTATTGTTTTAATGTCATCAATCTTCTATGAGCATGTGTTATTATGACTACTATTTATTGAAAACTAGACATGAAGTCACTAAACATATCATACCTCTTTATTGGATACATCCAACTATAACCAACAGGTCCAAAAGTTTCACCCATTTATTCCCGACTTGTTGAAATTTTAGCTCTTTACGAATGTTTAACCTCATTAAATCTCTATGTGATTTATCAGTGTCCTTTGTTTTCCTTTTGACGTTTAATAATGTGTCCATGACATTATCACATATATTTTTCTCAATATGCATAACATCCAGTATGTGTCGAATCTTAAGATTCAACCAATATGGTAACTCAAAAAATATGATTTTCTTCACCCAATTTACTTTATCGTGCAATCACTTCCCTTTCCATTATAAGATGTTTACTTTATCGTGCAATCACTCGAAAGTTCTGACCACTGCAGACATCATACATCTCAAAGTCGGTACTCTACAACTCAGTCAACTCATCTATCAATGATTATAAGTAAATATCTATCTCCTTCCCTAAAGCCTACAAAAGTGATATTGGGTAGGTAACTGCCCACTAAGGCATCTCTCTCGTATAACATACAGTCCTAATGACTTCATTCAAACAATCCTTGAAAGGCCAGAGATAGGTGCCTTAACCACTTGAACTATGCTCGATTTGGCTCAATTAATTTCTTTTGAGAATAATGTTGGTTGAAGATATTGATTTTACATTAGTGGGCTTAGTGGGAGAATGTAAGCCACATTTTCAACTTTTTTTTTATTGTTTATATTAATTATTTTATTATAAAACTCTTTTTTGAAATTTGAATGAGTTTAGTGGGGTTATAGGTATCTTTCTTTTTAAACTCCATAATAAGGCTATCTATTTCTTCTTAACAGGAAAAAGAACATACAATACTTTTTTATTGGCACAGAAAGAGTATTATGGTCGTCTCTAGTCTATTAGGCACGGATTAAAGTATTGGATATATTTGTACGAGTTGCGTCTAATCTACAAATTCGTAAAGTTCCTTAGAATCAAATTTACTGCCCTCAATCAACCACTACAACCCGCACATGAATTTTATTAATTGATGGATCGATCCTTCTAGTATTAAATCTAAAGATAATTCTTCCATCATTAATTACATTTAAAAAAAAAAAAAAAACCA